CTCGCCGATCACTTGATTTACATCGACCAATGAAATTGGCCCATATCTGTTCATTTTTATATGTTCGTTTCATTTTACCCCTCCCCCCCCCTCCCGGGAGCCCTAGTAAGTGACGTTAACCGAAGAATCAAATTCGAACAGCCTAAGCTACACGCTGTACTTAATAGCATACAAAATATTTTCATTCATCAACTTGGCTTAGTCTCTTCCAAAGTCTTAGAGGATTTGATCTTCACTGAGTTTTGACTTTCTCCAAGGTTTCGTCTTTCACCAGGGGATTTGTCAGATTTTGCGGGTTCTTCAGGTTTTGCCAGTTTTGCCAGGTTTCGTCAGTTTCGCCAGATTTCGCCAGTTTCACTGGGAAGTTTTGTCTTTTGTCTTTCGCCTGTTTTAGGTTTTGTCTTTCGCCATTTTCCAAAATGGTTTCGTTTAACAACTATAGTTGCAACATTAACCACAATCTTTAACCAATTCCACTTTAGTATATTCAAGTTTAAACTAGTGCAAACTTGATTCAAAAATTATATAACTAAAAATTTTAATTGTGCCATATATTGATATAGTTAGAATTAATATGAAGAAATATGTTTTGGTTTAAAAAATAATGTGCGCATTAGAATGTTATATACAAAAAGTAAAATTATACATGCGGTGACTTAAACGCACATTCAACTTTATCGTTATATACTGATCATCTATTTAAAACTGATTAAGTTTTGCTTATTTTTTTATAAGATTTAGATCTATTTTGCTTATGATAGCGATAGTTAAATATTCAGTTTAATTTATATTTATTCAAGAATTCGGTTTAGAAATCAGTTTATACGAAGAAAGTGAATCTGCTAAATGAATTCATAATTTCATATTAAATATACTTAGGTAGTTTTATTTAATGTACGTTATAATAAATAACTGTTAATTTGAATAAAAAATTTAATATTTTCGCTAGATTTGCTTATTAACTATTCAGCCAATCAATTGATCGATTCCATAAAAGGTTTGTGTTACAGGCGCCAATAAGTAAATAACGAAGTTACAAATTCCTGAGCTTGATTTCGAGGGAGACCTCATAGAGTGGTGGTCTTTACAAAAACGGCAATTTCCGATTTTAAGTGAAATGGGCTGAAAATTTCTTGCAATTCCTGCAACAAGCACACCAAGTGTGTGCTTGTTTTCAGTTGCAGGAAATGTTATGAGTGCGAAAAGAACGTTATTAAAGCCAAATTATTTGGCAGAATGGTATTTCTAAAACGTAATATGAAACAAATGAATTTACTATTCCTGATGTCTAGGATTAATGCATGGTTGTTTTTATAATATAAATCGCAAATTATAAGTCATGTAAATAATGTAGCGGTAATAGTACAGGTTGCTTTTATAATGCGCAAATTAAAAGTCATGTAAATTGTATGTGCGATAATAGTACAAGTTGTTTTTGTAATATCGCAAATTATAAGCCATGTAAATTGTAATTAAGTAATGTAGAGATAATAGTACAATTGTTAAATTTCATTTTATATTAAGAATTAATATCTTTGTAGCCATAGGCTACCGTAGCCGCAACTAAAATAACTCTTTTTTGTTAGTTACGGTAATGATAGTATGCGGGTGAGAAAGAATTGTTTATAGTAAACTTTAACAAGGAATTTTTTTTGTTAGAACCTAAAGATTAGTTTCATATACTCAATTTTGAGTTATACCCGATTTTTGACAATTTTTGACAAAACAAACGTTTGTTTTGAATTTTCCTGCTTGTGCTACATTACACCTGATCTTTAAATTTTGGTTGACTTTTATGGGATGCGGCTACAGTAGGGATGGGCAAAATTAATACGTATTCTTACCTAATATTACTTATCATTATTTAAGATTTTTGTAACTAGGTACGTAATAATAAATAATTTTACGGTAATTCTATTTTTAGTATCAAATTTATTCTTAATCTCAGTTTTGATCGCTCACTTCCGACCATTATCAAATTGATTAAATTTACACGTAATATGTAATAGAATGTAATAAATACTTAATACTACTTAATATTAAGTAAGGGATAAGTAATAAGTCATTATTACTTACAAAATTACTTTGCCCATCCATAGGCTACAGTAACCATGGCTACTAATATATTAATTCTTATACCAAATTCTTTTTTATATTTTTTAAAAACTCAATGAATATTCGAAGATCTAGAGTTTGTGACCAATCAATGCTCGAAACTAATCGATTCCAATCTCTACATGTATCTATGCAATAATTATCAACAAAGATCAATAAAGTTAAAATTTAAAGTATTAAATAATTTTATACTCATAAGCAGAAAGAAAAAATTATTATAAAATATATGTTGTATATAGTAAAATAGCAAAAATTTTCTATATAAAAATATATTTTAACGTATCTATAAGCAACTCTTGCAAAATTAAAAAATTAATTTAGAATCGAATTATTACTAACTATAATTAGCGGTGATTATCACCAGGGTGCTATATATCAAAAACCTACTAGCTAATTCACGTTATTAATATAAAATTATTACAATAAAATTAATATATATACATAATGTGATATGATAACAATTTTAGATTTGCCTTGAATTCAAAGGAAGATGTTTATTAACATCCTTCAAAATGAATTCGTGACTATAATCATGTGCTTCAAAAGCAAACATTTCAATGATTCTATCTTTTACTTCTTGAGAAGATAAAAAATAGTCAATAGAGGATGTTCTATCTGTTCGGGTGTTTGTTAAAAAAACCCGTTTCAAGAGTATACTACCAACTAAACCACTCAAAAAAGCTAAGAGGATACTATTTATAGTGTTTGAAGTCTCTGAACTGGCTAGATAGAAGCCAAGTGCAATAAAACTACCTATTGATATTAAAAATATTATCCGAAAGCAACATTGCTGTGCGAAGACAATTTTGGTATATTTTGCATTTAGTTGCATGTTTTTTTCATCAGCTTCATGTATTATTATTTCCTCTCTCACCGCTTCATGGATATTATTGCCCATATTTTTTAGTATTAGTTGAAAAAAGCATAAACCTATCAACGAAATCATAAATAAGATCGTAAAGATCCACAAGGTAATTTTGTAATGTAACGTTATATACATTTGAATAAAATTTACATAATGAGTGTATGCCATAAGAAGGCATTGAAGTGTGATATAATTTAAAAAAAAGTTGATATATATCACCTGTTTGTAAGAAAGGCAATTTAAGTTTCGGTTGCGTATGATATTAATAATGGAAAAGAATAGTGAGATAATACATGTTATAAGGATCATGATTTGGAAAATTAGTGAAGTAATACTACGATAATCGGTTAAATTTTGATGAATCGAAAAAGAAATAATAATCATTGCATAAGCGCTATGTATAAAATCTAATGAATGGTTTATATAAATGTTTAGAATTAAGGGTTTAGAGGGGTTTGGCCGATTTTGAATTGTAGAGAAAAGTGCTCCTCCAAACAAAGAAATAAATGAAAAAAAATTATGATCATCAGAACTAAACGGGCCATTACTATGAGCGTTAGGATCGTAGCTATCAGTTCCATTCATTTTGAAGAAAAACTATATTGACAATAATATCAACTAGTCTTAAGATGTCAATCAAAGTTATAATTGTTGTCAATAAGATGTGTCAATGAGATCTCTTGAATTTTTATAAAAAAACATGCTAGTTTAAAAGTTTAACAATTTTCTAAAAGAGTACTCTGCATACATCTTGTGTTATAATTATTTCTATATTAGTTTTATCTTGTTTGCCATACGAAGTAACATATGTGGTACGTATGTACGTACTACGTGTCATTTTACAGACAATAAGATCACAGACGTCTATTACTTTTCCGACGCAACCATTTCCATTTTCCAAACAATCACTTATTCGATGAAACACTTCGCTGACATAATTATTTCCTCGACATATTCATTTCCCTGACAATCATGCATCCTCGGTGCAACTAAGGATGTGTAAATCGTGCATTTTTTAATCTACTGCGAAGGCTGAGCTGCCTGCAGCATTATGCATGTTGATCAGAATTATGTCAGCCTGAATTTTAAAAACGCCTGACGCTGAGTTACGGGCACAACACACGTGTGATAAATCCAAACGTTGTTGTGTTAACTATAACCTTAACATTACAATAACGGTCGTGCCTGTAGCTTTTCTCTTTTAAAATTGCATTGCGCAGCCTATCAAAAATTCTGTGCAGCCTATAGGTGCAGAAAATTGGTGGTGACGTAGCTTTTCTGTAGCATCCACAGTCGTAACTCAAGACGTGACGATACGGCAAAAAGCTACAACTGACGTTTGTCGTAATGTTGGATAGATGCCGTAACATTGACTTATGCCATAACTTCAGATATGTGTCATATTATTCGACTATACCATGGTGAATTCTTGATATGGAAAGTATTGAACCGGTCTATTCTTTCGAAATAAACCTTCGAT